TGATGGCTGCCTTGCGATGTTGGCATCACACGTTGATTGTTGGCATTCTGGATTTTTAGATTTTATTACTTATCACTGATAACTCATTAGTAATCAGTAATAAGTGTTATCACAGTTCGCGCCAAATAATAAATAATATTAAAATGAAATTTTGATTGCAAAGTGTGTTAAAAAGCTTTTATTTTTACATTTTTACAATATTTAATATAATTTAAAAAATGGATGCACTTATAGCTGAAGTCGTCCGTCGCCGAAGAAATGCAATCAGTGTTTTTTTGTTAATTGAAAAATTAAGACGAAGCAACAATGTTACGAAGCCAGCCAGGTTATGGAGTCGTTCTTGGCTATTGCGTCGTGACAAGCACCAAAGTGTTCTGAATATGCTTTTGAAGAACTTGGGTATGTCAACATAATTTAAATTTAACAGATTTATTATACTGACTCTTACAACACCTACAATACAACATTGAGGTACCCACTTACCCACCATTTTAATTTTAGTATTGGTTCATTTTAGCCCAGAAGATCCTGCATGTTTCACAAATTTTACCCGAATGCAGGAAGATTATTGGAATGAATTACTGACACTTGTGACGCCTCTAATTTAAAAAAAGGATACAGTTATGCGTAAAGCAATATCACCAAGGGATAGACTTTCTGTTACTCTTCGATACTTGGCAACTGGTAATACCTTCAAAGATCTGAGCTACTCCACACGCATTGCTCCCAATACTATTTCTAGCATTGTACGCTCTACTTTGGCGGCAATTATCCAAATTCTAGGACCTAGAGTAATCAATCTCCCATCAACAGCGGATGAATGGGAACTAGTTGGTCATAAATTTGAAATGTTATGGAATTTCCCTCATTGTATTGGCTCATTGGATGGAAAGCATATAAATTTTCGTCCTGCTAGAAAAGAGGGATCCAAATTTAGAAATTACAAAGGGAAAGATAGCATAGTTTTGCTAGCCTTGGTTGATGCGGAATACAAATTCTTGTTTGTCGATATCGGAATGAATGGTCGAATGCATGATTCAGCTGTCTTCCGTGAAAGTCCATTAGGTAACAAAGTATATTCCAATACTTTACCTTTACCTTTCCTATGTGAAGTACCTGGATTCAATTACAAATTGCCGTATGTAATTGTTGGCGATGATGCATTTGCCTTGAAGCCAAATTTACTGAAGCCTTATCCAAGTCGAGGCTTAACACTTGATAAAAGAATTTTCAACTACAGATTGAGCCGTGCCAGAAGAACCGTTGAAAATGCATTTGGTATTCTTGCTAATAGATGGAAAGTTTTACTTTCTACTATACCCCTTGATATTGATATGGTTGAAACAATTACATATGCTTGTGTGCTTTTACATAATTACCTCATCACCAAGAAAATTTCCCATCAATGGTATGTACCTAACAACTATAGAATTTCAAACAATTCTAATACAAACAGTCATGAAGAACAGTTATCTGAACATCAGTATGGTTTGGAGCAACAGACTGGTAATCGTAGCTGTAATAACGCCTTAGAGATCCGTGATAAGTTTTGCGAGTATTTCAATACTGCAGGTGCGGTACCCTTCCAATATAGTGCAATAGAAATGGGCAATCGGTAGTGACGTGAAGTTTTTTGAACTATATTATATAACATAAACTGTATTTTGATTTTTGCGTATATGATTAAAAATATTTTATTAACCTGTTGTTATTATGATGTGAGGTTCCTGAGACCTTTTGAAAAAAAATTTGCCTCGGGAATACCATTTTTACTAAGTTATAGAGTTTTTACTTAATATAATATAAATACAGATCTAAAATCATATTCAATCATTATCAATAGCAGCCATAAAAAAACAAAAATTAATTATTATTTAGTTTATTTTTTTTGCTAGACAGATGGAGCAACTGTTGCATTTTTTCTATTCAGATTTTACACTTTTTCATATGTTATTTCGTACAAACCTTACTTTGACAACTAAGAACGGAACAAAAACAAAAATTATTCAAATCGGTCAAGTCGTATTTTGAGTTTTAGCGAAACTAACGGATAGCTAGATACTCGTATAATTTTAAAATATTGTATTTACTATCTTACTATGCAAAATATGTGCCAGATTAATAAAAAGCAGTTCTCAATTTAGGTAATAATAAAATAATAATTAAATTTTTATTATCTTTAATAAATTAATAAAAATAATAAGAAACTATTTCTTCAGTCTTACAAAGTTCACAAAAAAAAAAAATAATATAATAAAAATCAGTGTATGCAAATTTACAACTTAATACTATAGTTTAATATCCTACTAAATATCTTTAATAAAAATAATAGATATAATAAATAACTCTTTCCTTCAATCTTATTGAAGTTAACAAAAATAAAAAAATAATAATAAAAAACAGTGTATGGAAAATGCAAATGTAACAACTTAATACTATAGTTAAATATCCTACTAAATGTCTTTAATAAAATGATATAAATAATAAATAAACTCTTTCATCAGTCTTATGAAGTTCACAAAAATAAAAATAATAATAATATAATAAAATAAATAATAAATTAACTCTTTCTTCAGTCTCACGAAGTTCACAAAAATAAAGATAATAGTAATATAATAAAATAAATAATAAATTAACTCTTTCTTCAGTCTCACGAAGTTCACAAAAATAATAATAAAGAATAAAGAAATAACAAATTAACTCTTTCTTCAGTCTTATGAAGTTCACAAAAATAGTAATAATATAATAAAAAATCAGAGTACGCAAAAGTACCAACTTCATCAACAAGTTAAACATCATTGGTAATGTCTTTTGATTTTGCATCAAATGCAGTTTGGGTAATACTGTTCATTGCTTCCAGCTTTATACCTTCATTTTTTATGGTTCTAAGTAGTGATCCTATAAATACTACAAATGTATCAATTGAGTCTGATGACGGAGTCGGTGTATTCCTAATAATATCTGTACTGTTAATGGTAATCGGTTGACTCATTGACTCCGCAAGATGATTAATGGCGCTTGCATATTCGTCATCAATTGGATTGGAACGAAACTTTTTTTTAGGGCGGCTATTTGAATTGCTTGTTGATGAAGATGTTGATGGTGTTGATAGGGGTGGGCTGATATGGCTAGGAAGTGTAAAATGTTGGGAAGAACTTGCTGCAAATTCTTCATCAGTTTGTGGTTCCCTGTCGTCTGGCACAAATATTTCTTGGATTAACTCATTATCTCCAAACTGCAAACTTTGATTACTAATTTCTTCTACTGTGTATATTATATTAGTATTCTGAAACAAACAGACATTTGAGTATTTAACTAAAGGACAATAAAAATACTAATTTTAATCCCAATGTTCTTGATAGAATAATTACCTCACATGGTAAATCTGTTTTTTTTACTTCGTTTTCCATCGAATTCCGGCTTTTACGAGGTGTAACATATGGATCCAAAAATAAAAGCTTTTCATAATACCATAAGGATGGTTTGTAAATCTGAAATAATAAGTAGATATAAGATTTAAGTTTGTGTAATATTATTAATTATAAACACTATAATCTATAGATCACTGTTACTACTAAGGATATAATAATATGACCATGATAATAGGTTTGGAAGCTTTTGGGACTGTGGTGAATTAAAAATTTTGGTGATTAATATGGCTTGGAAGTTATAGGAGCTAATTAAAAAGGCAAAATATACCTAATATCACCTTACTGAAGACGGGGTACATATATATTAGTATCGTTGTATACTTGTATGAGTTTCAATTTTAACCAAGTGTATATTTCATAATCAGGCCTTGTAAAAGACACGTTTTAACCCTTTAACGGGCAAACCTAATTTTCAAATACGACAAATAAGACAACTGTGGCCTCCATATCAGCCACCATTGAAGAGACCCGTATGATCAAAATTATTTTTGTTAATTATAGTTTAACGGAACTGTGGCATAGATAGTAGCCAATTTATTATCAATATAAAAACCGCCATAAAAATAAATCAATTTTTGTTTTGCTTATCAATTACGATAGAATGATAACATAATAACATGTGTTCAACAATTATTTAATATTATAATGGTGATAACCGTATTGATAATCATTATTGTCAAAAGTGGCTTGTGTACAAGCCACTAATCGTTAAAACTTGTTAACATTTCAAATTTTAAAATTATTTTACGAAATTAGTGTGACTACCATTTACTACAACGTATAATCAATCAAATAAGTACATATTATAATTCTTTATACAATTTTACATAGGTTATATATCATAAATTATCGATATCAATGGTTTTATAGTATTTTTACATTCGATAAAAGTATAAAAAAAAATATTTTTCAAAAAAAGTTTATTTTAGATTGTTGAGTATTATATTATAAATTAAAATTATATTAGTAATTTATACACCATTGGACTCGTTACAATCTATTGTTTTTAATGGTATAATATTTTCCGAGGTTAATATTTGCGCAAAGAAGATATAGTGCAAATAGTTGATATTTATTGATAACAAAAATGTAGTTATACACATATTTTTTTTTATTATATTAGTTGTATTTTATATAGGTAATTATTTTTTGTTGTAGCTTCTGAATAAAAATGCCACATGTGTCACAAATTGACATTTTGGAAATATTATACAATCTTATACTGTTGTTATACTTATGTCTATGAAGTTGTTTTTATTAACACGTTGACCGCCGTGTGCCCGCCGGCGGTCATTTGGTAAGTTATTTATGGACGCCACGGCGTATTTCATCGGGATTCCTAAAATGTTATCGTCGATATTTATAGTACTATTCGACGGAAAAATATAAAATTGATATCTATGTAATTGTCTCGGTCTCATGATTATTATTTTTGTATTGACATCGTTTGGTAGCCGGCGGGCACGTGGCGTAGTGATAATGTCATTATTACTTATACGCCATTTGACTACCGGCGGTCACGTATGCTGCGTATTCTTTTATTACAAACATTTATTTATTATATTTAAAATGTATTCGCGACCAAAACGAGTTAAATTAAATGATGATTTTATCAATCAACTATTAGAAGACAGTAGCGACAGTTTGCTAAGTGAATTTGATGATTCAGATGCAGACAAGACGTACAATCCCGTCAGTTCTTCGGAGTCTGATGTCCCAAGTGGTAAGAAAATTTATATTATTTTACGGATTTTTATATTTTACTGTGCCCTAAATTATAAAAAATTATAAATTGTCATTTAGTTAATATTTATAGAACTATTATGTTAAGTTTTTATTATTCAAATTAGGTATTTTCATAATTCCGTATATAATTTATATAATTATTGATTCTCTATAGAGCTAAGTGATAATAATGAACCAAGCACCTCGAGCAATATTTCCGTAGCATCACAAACTTGGACAAATGTAACTGGCAATTATCAAAAACCACTGCAATTTAATAATAATTCTGGACTGAAAATCGATATATCAGTTGATTCTACTGCTTGGGATATTTTTAATTTATTCTTGACTAATGAAATAATTGATCTTATAGTCGAAGAAACCAATAAAAATGCCCAACAATTTTTATCAAAAAACAGATTGACAAAATCTAGTAGATTTTCTAAATGGATTCCTACAGATCAACAGGAAATAAAAAAATTTTTCGGATTAATTATTTGGATGGGGTTAGTTCAAATGCCCACTTTGGAAGACTATTGGAGTATAAATATAAGATATAAAAATAATGTAGCGCAAAACACTATGTCAAGAAATCGGTTTGAATTAATTCTTAGATTTTTACATTTTTCGGACAATGAAAAAGCTCCAAATGACGACAGGATTTATAAAGTGCGCGATTTAATTAATAAGTTAATTGAAAATTTTCAAAAAATACTTGAACCTGAAGAGTATTTAGCTGTTGATGAGACAATGGTCCCTTTTAGAGGGAGGTTAATTTTTAGGCAGTATATACCAGGAAAAGCGCACAAATATGGTGTAAAGTTGTTCAAGTTATGCGGAACAGATGGCTATACGTATAATGTGCAAGTATATGCTGGCAAAAGTCAAGTTGATGGAAAAGGTCTAGGATGCAGAGTAGTGTTGGACTTAAGTCAGAGATATTTGAATGCTGGGCGGACAATAATCACTGATAATTTTTATACCTCAGTGCCATTAGCATATGAACTTTTAAAAAACAACACACACTTGGTAGGAACATTACGATCGAACAGAGTTAAATTACCAGAAGTAACCAATGCTAAATTAAAACCAAATGAAATAGTTGGAAGGGAAAATATTGATGGGATCGTCATAGCTAAATGGAGGGACAAGAGGGACGTCACAATGTTAACCACACGACATAACATCAATATGGTAGATACAGGAAAAAAAAATAAAAAAAAAGAAAATATTGTTAAACCTCAAATTATAATTGATTATAATAAAGGAAAAGCTGGTATAGACTTGTCTGACCAGCTATCAAGTTATAACTCTTCTGTTCGAAAATCCATCAGGTGGTACCACAAAGTAGCTATTGAACTTTTGTTTGGAACTTCTATTGTGAATGCACTTCTTATATATAATAAAATAAAACCTAATAACAAGTTGAAAATCACACAGTTTCGAGAAGCGTTAGTAGATGAAATATTAGGACTCAAAAAATCAAATGAAAATGAACAGCTAACATCTACATCAACACAAAGGACACAAAGACGAACTACGAAACATATCTTTCAAGAAACTACCGAAAAATGCAAAAGGAACAGGAAAATTCGAAAAAGGTGCGCTCATTGTTACGAAAAACAAAAATGTCTCGAGGGATCTGTGAAGGCAAGAGAAGTAAAGAAGATATCGACATTTTGTGCTACTTGTAATATATATCTTTGCCTAAGTTGTTTTAATATTCACCATATTAACTAGGTAATCACAATGTTGAATAATTTTATTTTTATTTTATTTTATTTTAAAAGGAACAATATTATTTTCAAAAATTAATTTTTATTAACCAGTTGTAATTTTGTGTTATAATTTTTACGTATTTTACATAAATAATAAAAAAAATATGAAAAATAAAATTAATAATGTATGATTTTTAGATTTAAAACATGTTGGTAAAAATATTTTTTTATTATGATAGAATCGTCCAATCATATTAAAAACTATACCATTCGATGTGTTATTATCTTCTCTACGCCATGATGTAATAATATACACGATTCATTGAACGCCACAGTATAAATTCACGTTTAAAAATGTATATGAATATGGAAGCCCGCGTCCACATGGCGTGGATGTTATAAGGTTGTTTGACAGCCGGCGACCACAAAAGCAGTAATACGTTTCTAGTTAGTGTGACCGCTGGCGGGCACATGGCGGCCAACGTGTTAATTTGTTATTATTTTTTATTATTATTCACATCTATTGTATTCATTTTAATGTCAAGTCAAGCATTTTTAAATAAATAAAGTCTCAATTAATCTTTTTTTATTATTCAAAAAATTTAAATGTCTAATAGCATAGAAGTATGAATATAGTATTTATTTTCAGAATTATTCTAAGTCAGAGGAAAATCATGACCCCTTATAGTTTAATGGCATTTATTTCAGCCACCATCTATAGACCTAGGTATTGATATTACAACAATAGTTATTGAAACAAAAATGTTATAATTAAATAAAAGAATATTAATCAATCACTAAAATAAACATATTTAGATAAAAATAGTTCTGCCCATGTACCGTAATTTTACAAGTGGCTTCTATAAATGCCACAGTTGCATTCATTTGTGATTCATTAATATTATGCTGCCTATCTACCGTACAAACATAAGTGGCTTCTAGAACAACCACTAACACATAAACACATAAGTATTCAAGTACAGAATACTAGTGGCTTATTATATAGGTTAGGTACCTAAGTAGAAAGAGTAATGTAATAGTAAGTATGTAAACGTAAAGTATGCAAAATACGCATATTTAAGTAATTAAAAAGTATTCGAATACTATAGTACTTTATGAGATTGTAAATCTTAAAAAGTTTAATATTACCTATATTTTGATTTATAGTTTTTGAAAAAAGACTTGAAATCGTAACTTCTTCAAGATTGGTGGTATCGACTTAAAGTATTTGAGTATCAACGCATTCACACCTTAAGATCAAATTTTCTTTTTCAAAAGAGTCGTGTGTCGATTTTAAGATTGATAAAACAAAATTTCCTCACAATTTTTTTTTTTGAAACTCACTTTCCGAAAATAATTTACTATTTTAAAAATTGAGTTTAAAATCTTTTACACAAAACAACACGTCTACAAAATTGTAGTAGGTACTTGAGGTCAAAATCGGGGAAAGACAATTATCGCAAAATGATTTTATTAAAGAGTGACACAGATTTTACACCATTGAAAAATATCAGACCAAGGAGTGTACCAAAGTAGGTATGATATAATTTCTTTAAATTGTACAATTTTATTTAATTTCCTAAAAAAATAAAATAAATTATTTTATATACCAAAATGTTTAAAATATTTTTAAGATTAAATGACCCAATTGTATGTCCAACTTAAAAGTTTGAAGTAGAAACTTACAATGCAGTAATAGACATGTCACTAAATGAATTGAGTGACCAATTTGAAACTACAAATATTGGACCATTAAAAGACATTGCATTTCTCTGATCTTGTAGAATACAAGAAGTGCTCAATGATTGAATGATCTAACAATGCTACCAAAAGAATCATTTATAGATTTATGCAAGGTTTATTCAAAAATGAATAGGCATTGTTTGATTTCTGAATGACTAAATACATGCAATTTTATATGAATTTCAATGAATTTGAAAATAATTTAAATTTACTAGAGTTTTTGCATGATGTAATCAATAATAAATAATAATTCAAGCAATGATGAAGATAATAATGATGATAACAACATTTCAGTACTTGAACCACAGAATTATTCTGTGCTTGAACCAAATACATAATACATTAGTACCTATGATGATTTAAAATTTAAATGAAACTCAAAAAAGAGCAATTAAGAACATTGGAAGTGCTAAAATAATTTTTGAAATGTTTTGTTTAGCTAATAGAACCAGTTGTTTTTTAAATTTATATATGTCATTAGCTATATAAGTGACTATTCCAATTTCTAGTTGTAGCGTAGAGCGTTCACTCTCCAAAGCCTTAGTAATAACTTTATGCATGTTAATGTATGTGAATGTGATATGTATGTCTATGTATAACTATAACTTAATAGTTATTAGTTATAAAAATTATATATTTTATATGGACCAAATGTTTTAATTTTTTTATTATACATTATCCCATTACTCATTACTCATTACTCATTAGGTACCTATATAAAAAAAAAATACATATATTACAAATTCATCATAGTGTAATGTATTTGTAATTTCTGTTTAGTCATAATAAATGTATATAAATATATACCTAATTAATAATTAACAATAGGCCTGTTAAGACAATATTTAGTCATTATTTAAAGTAATAAATATTAAAAATTTATTATGTAAGCATTGAGTTTGAGTATGAATATTTGTGTTTGATTACCATTATTAAAAATGACCTGAAATAATATTCATATTTTATCATGTACCTATTTAAAAAATAATATCTGTTTGTGTATAAATAGTGCTAATGAAAACTGTAAATTGAGAAACATATATAAATAGCTGAATTGTTTATAAATGCCTCTATAAACACAAAATTAAATTATTACAAATTTGTTAATAGTAATAGTTTATTTGTATGGTTCTTAAGTGGGTACCATTATACCATATAATTTTTTTAAGGTATAAGACATAAAGCAGTTTCATAAACTTTTTTTTGTATTAAAGTTATAACTGCCTCCTAGAATGCCACTAAGAAATAATAAACTTAAATAGGAATTTAGGTAAGGTGAGTAGGTGGATAGTCAAATATAATTTACCCCAAATATATTTTTATATTTCGGCACCTTTGTGGTCCATAACAACCTATTTAAAATACCCTAAATATAAAACTTGCTAAAAATACTTACGTCATCAGTACCAGTGCCGCTTTTGAATGATGTTTTGACTTTGGCATTTTCAATGTTGAATTGGTTTCGTAGGTTATGGAATTTGGTTGAACATTCTTTTGAATTTGTTAATGGCCTTAAGCTTTTCACAGTTTTATGTACACGTTCCATGGCATCTGCTCTTAAGTGCTTATTGTGATATGTGGCCAGATTTGTTGCAAATAAGCAGAGCTCTTCTTTATATGCATCAATCAACGTCTCTATTTGGTCATTCGACCACTTTTCAGGTTTTTGGCTCTACATCTTTTACTTGTAAATTTAAACGTTGTAAACTTATTTACGTTAGTTATAAGTATTAAGTAATAAGGTAGTAACTTGGAATAACTTGAAACTTCACAGTTCATACTTCAAACTTGTGCTTATAAAAACATTAAAGACTAGATATTATTAATTATTATATTAATATTTAATATATTATCACTTGACACTTATCAGTATAATAATATCACCACGACGTAATCGAAAACGCTGTTGTCGGCCCACGTGACAAGATTCTATTTTCTGATTGGTTACTGCATAAATTGTTCAAACTATCACGCACAGAAAATAGCACATGATCTATTACCGAAATCCAGCCCGCGTTCACGCAACGGAGCCAGCAGTGACGTCATTATCAATCACTGAATCCATCAATATTGCCATCACAGCTCCGGGAACCAGCACCAAAAAAAGCGTCGTGTGCGGCGGGCTTTAATTAATAACATAATATTATTATTTATTAAAAATAATAACTCTGTTGTCACATATTTCATATATTTAACTATTTGAACCCTATATTATTGTGTTATAATTTTTAATAGTTCAGTGACTGTTGAGAATATCCTGACTGATATACCAGTTTTTAATGAAATATCCGCGATTGAAAGTTCAGGTGGCCTGCCAAATTGTAGTGCTGAGAATTGTAACAGTTATATTGAAATCAATACATTAAATTTAACTACAGAAATTAAAAGTCCACTCGCTCAATCGAGTTTTATAGAAATATTATCAGAGAGTTCAATTATAAACTCCACTCAAACTTCTAACGCAACGTACAATGAGCAAACTTCACGGTATCTTTTTTTACCTAACTAACAACTTTATATAAATATTATTTTATTTTATTTATTTATTATTTATAAAATGTAGTTCGACACTCATTATATAATTATTAAATGTGTTAATTTTTTTTTAATATTTGTTTGTACTATATACACATTTTACAAATATTGGAAAAAATTGGTTTATATATTTAATATTTTTAATTTCTATGTACTATGTATATTATACATAATTGAGAGTTGAAATGTTATTTTTTTTGTGTATCGTAAGGGTTGGACGAAGAATTGTTGACATTTTTTACATTTTCCAACAATTGCAAAATAGTGTTCATAACGTTGCATTTGGATGTTCTTTTATAAACTCTGAACTCGTAAAAGAACATCGTAATGGTTATTTTTGTACGTGGACATTTGAATGTAAAATGTGTAATCTAATTACAAAAATTGAATCTGAAAAAAGTGAATCATATATACCAATCAATAAAGCTATTGTCAATGCTACCGTTGGAATTAGAATAGGATACACTCAACTTAGTGAATTTTCCGCAATTTTAGAGATACCCTACCTTAGCGCTAATACATACGGTAAAATATTCGATAATCTTAGTACAGTAATAGAACAAACGGCATGGGAACAGATGAGATTGGCGGGCATTGAGGAAAAGCAATTAGCGATGGAGGCTGGAGATTTTGATACTGATGGTATACCATTGTGCCCTGTAATTGCTGACGGTCAATGGGGAAAACGAAGTTACAAGACCAAGTATGACGCGTTATCCGGAGCTGTAAGAATTATTTTATCAC